ACAAGCATGGGACAATTTCAAATCTTATATCAGTGCTGCAGTGAAGACCTCTTAACCCCTTCGCACCGGGAACCGTTGACAGCCGCGGCTTTGTGTGAGGATTAGTGCATACCACACATACAGTCTATTCACCATGCAGCTGCTGGTTCAATGGGGCCTGCTGATGGACAAAGCCCTCCATTCAGGGCATAACACAGCCCAGCAGTCACAGTCAAAAGAATTACCGGCACGAAGGGGTTAAGACCATCATAAGGCCCAATGAGACTATCACAAAACGTTCGGTTTGGATTCAAGTCACAACCCGTTCAAATGAACTGAAACAAAGCAATTCTTTATCATTGTTCGCCCTGTTACTTTTGTGTCTGGTCAGTATTGCATTACTGCTTCATGTAACTATGAGAGTCACTGGGAAGAAGGCAATGAATTATTGTCGAGGGTCACCATTTTCTTTTGCCCCTACCTGTTTCCATTACTAGTTGATCTTGTCTTTACCTCACGCCGTCACCGTGGGTACCCATTCAGCCTGACGTTCTTCGTCAATTCAATCCAAGTCTTACGTCTGAGTGCCTGTTGTGAGTACAAATACGGTCCTGGGGTGATGCTTGGAGGACGTAAGGGCCACTTCAAATTTGGCAGAGTGGACGGGGGCTCTCCTTGTTACAGGTAAAGATTTGAAGATTGGAATGCGATTGTAATACGATAGAATGAGTTCTGAAACTTTAGATAAAGATCCCTTGAACAAATGAAAGAAGTGTTGATGACGAGATAGTGATGTAGTGATTTGTTATAGAGCTTAAAGTGGCAAATGTGATTCTCATGGTGTGCCTCTTGGGATTCAGACTAGCTTTGGGGGGTTACAAAAGGTGAAATGTGACACCACACAAACTGGGTTAAAGTATTTGAAAACTTAGATAAAAACAGTACACCTGTCTGTTTCGTTGCAGGTGCATGGTCGAAGCTGAGTTGGCTCGTAGGGAGCGTCAACGATATAAGGACACCCAGACCGAGGAACCCAAACCAGAACCAGAGCCAGAACCAGTCTTGGAGAGCCAGGGGACACAAAGTGATCCTCCGCCTCCCGATACCCGAGACCAGGGGGAGCAAGCAGAAGGTGAGAGACAAGGAGTGGTGCAGGGGGTGGGGAGGGGGCGTCAGAGTTTTCATGGTCAGAACAGAGCTAAAGGACTGGGGAATGCGCCCCGATTGGTCAAGGGCACAAAGGGTTCTAAGGGTCAAGGGGGCAGAGATGACAATAAAGGCACAGGTCTCAAACGTGGACTTCTAGTGTGTCCAAGAAAGATGTTAATGGCAACAGCGAGCAACACCTTAAAACACAGTCAGGAAAAAAAGGGAGGAAGATCTCTATCGGTAACCTCAAGGAAGATTTCAAAAGTCAATAGGGATGATAGACAGAAAGAAAGTGAAAGTGGACGCTTGACCTTCAATAAGGAAATACCTCAGGCATATGGTGGAAATGGTCATAGTCAGGGTAAATCTGGCAAAACCAGTGGCTGCCCAAATTCTTTACAAAGCAACTGCACTGGGGACTTCACCGAGGGTTTGAGTGACGTTGACTCTGCTAGCAATCACCAAAGCCAAAAAGACAAGGCTGATTCTGAGAATTTCATAAGGGACAGAGAACAAGTTAAAGAAGGGAAAGTAGGAGGGAATGATGAATTGGATGGTGAGAGAAATCAAGGGCAAAGTATTGAGGAGAGTTTGCGAATACAAAGTGATGGAGAGGAATCAGACGATGCAGAGAGACAGAGTCTGTTGTATGGCAGTGATACCAGTGTGAGCGAGGATCTACCCTCTAGCTTTCATTACAGCTCTTAAAAGCTACACCACGAAGCCCCTTGATTGAAGAGAAATAGGGGAGGGACTGAGATAGCTTACTTAGTCATAGGAGCTTACTCCATCTGAAGTCACATTCATCATCAACTTGTTTATTGTCACTGTTTGGCACAGAGTAGTATGCGGCTATACTAAACTTGGCAGTCCATTTTTCGTTGATTCCAGAAATTTGGATTGTATTTTTCACTCTTTCAGAAGTCACTCCCAACAGATTCCCCTCTTTTTGTCGAGGGGTTGTGCGACACCAGCATATTCTGTATCACAGGGTGTCTATATCAGTAAATACAGTGTAGTTCGTGAGTGATTATCTTTGCATTGACGTGAAATGATTAAAAACTGTTGATTTATTGTTGTACATGAATGTTGCAATTCCTGTAATTCAGAGCCCTGGTAATTATGTATTTGTTCGGTAAACATGTTTGTCATTCAGAGTAAAATGTAAAAGTACAGAATTTTTATGAACTTATAAAAAAGATGTGTGCATGTTGGGTGTGCGTGTGCAGGAGTTGTGTTGGGGGGTAATTGTTTTGCATCACAATGAATTGATCCAGTGAGTATTTTGAACTTTTTTTGGGGGGGGGATATCAGTATGTAAGTTTGCATCGTTAATACATGTACCTCAGTTGTCAATACAGGGTCTTGAGTTGATTTAATTGTGTTGAAGTTTTTTCAGGGAAAATATGTTTCTTACAAAGATGGTCAGTCAGCATTATTTCCTCTGAAGATAAAAATTAGTTTGTCCGAAAGACACAAAGCATTTGAAATGATACATAGCAAACTTCCAAATACATGCAGTACATTACTGTAATTCTTGCCTCTTGGACAGGTCTTACACCTCATCACCTTTCCTCTCAGGAGAAATATCCTCTGAATGACATCCATAAAAGTGTACTTTCTCTGAGTAGCTGTAATAAATACAGTATTAGCATCAAGAATACATCTCTTGAATTTCTCTTCGCTTTTTTCTTCATTGAGAGACTCTGCATGGGAACTTGCCTGTGTTTAAAAGATCTCACTAACCCTAACCTCTCACCCTTTGACCTTTACCTTCACAGCCACTTTGAGTTTTAAAAGTAGTTTCAAATTTGCACTAGACTTGTGAAGCATGATAGAGTTCAGGGTTTTTGTTCATCCACTGTTATAAATTTGCATGATTTGAGGGATTTTCAACTGCATGCTTGTCGGACCTGGATTTCAAGATTTTGTGGTAGTTGCATGGATATGTACATGTATATCCTTATTTGGCACAGAGTGAGATGAGTACAATATGAGTGATAAAAGTGAGTGAAGTATATTTTGACAGCAACCAACTGACATGGAATAAATCCTTTGCTTCTCTTCACACTAGTACATTGGGACATGTTGAGCAAGAAAAACAGTCCTTGAATGTACAAATAATGATTGTAAGCACCTTTAGACATCAAGGCAAAAAATTGTTAATACATTTAGTTACAGACTGACAAGTGCATAGAGTCTCAGAGTGAACTTGGAGTCAACTGATATGATTGTTTCAGTTGTGCCACCTGCTAGTTGCATGATTGCATGACCACCCCTAATCCCTTCTAATCCCTCTCCCTTAATACCAGCCGTTGATGCCGAGGCAGGGGCCTACGATGACGATGATTTTGAAGATGAAGATGACAAGGAAGTTGTAGCCTCTGAAAAAGGTCTGTTGCTTTCTTTCGTGAACTTCAAAAAGAAACCAAAACTGTTTTACCTTTCGTTTCACGTTGATTTGTATTTGTTATTGTAAATTTCATCATTTATGTGTGAGAGATAAGTGTATGAGCCTTATCAGTTTCCCTTTAAAATGCTGAGTGTCCGTTTTTTGGTCTAGGAGAGACTCCAAAAGAGGAGGACAGGAGGTCAGATCATTTTTTCTCTGGTCCTGAGTCAGACATTGAGCAGAAACAACCTGAGGAGGCCGATTATGGAGCAGACTCTGACTTTGAGGCAGACTCCCACCATGAGAAAGAAGATGAGAAGGAGTTGGACAAGGAGATGCAAGATGAAGACAAGGAAGCCGCAGAAGAAATCCTTGCGCAAGGAGTGGCAGAAGATGAGGATGCTCTGGGTGAAATTTCTGAGGAGGAACCCGTCAAGGGCGAGACAAATGACGACAATGAAGTCGAGCCAGAGGACATACCAGAAGAGCACAATGAAAGTCCACCAACTGCTGAACCCAGTCAACAAACTGAAGATGAGCATCAAAGTTCAAGAAATGACGACAATGAAGTCGAGCCAGAGGACATACCAGAAGAGCACAATGAAAGTCCACCAACTGCTGAACCCAGTCAACAAACTACGGATGAGCATCAAAGTTCAAGAAATGACGACAGCGACTCTAGCAGTGATAGCGACGGAGACAATGTGGTTTTATCATCGTCATCAAGTTCAAGCTCCTCTGAAGATGAGAATGATCAGCAGGAGAAAAGGGACATCAAGGAAGCTGATGCTTCAAGTTCGGAATTCTCTTCAGAGGATGAAGGGGATGTGGAAAAGAAACGTGACAATGGAGTAAAGCAAGAGACCAAAACTGAAGAGCTCACTACATCTATCAGAGAAGATGAAGGGGGTATAGAGGAGGAAGTAAAACAAGATATCAAAACTGAGGAGCCCTCTACGGATGACAGAGGTACTTCTGTTGCTGAAAAGAGAGATGAGACTATTGGATCTAATGCTGAGGAAGGCCTTGATAATTTGGAGGAGAGACGATCATCTTCCCCACAAACATCTGAAATAGACCTTGATAACCAAGAAGAGAAGCCATTGCCTTCTCCACCAGCATCTGAGAATGATGTTCAGGAGGCAGCTGGTGATGAGCAAGACCAAAGTCATTCAGAAGAAGAGGTTACCACAAAACAAGCAGAAATGGATACAAAGAGACCATCCTCTCCAGATGACAATGGGAAAGATGACGAAAAAGAAGATGACATCACCAAAGAAAGGGACATGGAAGATAGAGATAGACAAAAAGGTGAACAGGAAGATGGGGAAGACAAATCAATTTTTGAAAAATTGGCAGATAAAATAAAAGATGCATTTACATCCTCAGATTCAAGTTCATCGGATTCTGATTCAGAAGAAAGGCAGAAGAAAAAGAAGCGAGAAACCAAGGGAACTCCTTCCACATTCGATAAAGACGAAAACAGTAAAACTGAGAGTGATAGCAACTCAGAGAAAAAGAAGTCCTTCTTTGAGAGACTGAAGGATAAATTCACTTCATCTGATTCTGACTCTGAATCAGATGAGGACAGGGAAAACAAAAAGAAGAAAAAAAGGAAGAGGAAAACCAAATCTGAAAATGCTGAAAACAATATGGACGAAGAGACATCTGTCAAAGACCAAAAGCCAGAAGAGGCCAAGGACCCACAACCTGAGAATATTGAAGAACATGAGAAATCTGGAAGAGCTGAAGAAGCAGAAAATCAACATCAAGAGACAGAAGATAAGAAAGAACCTGACACTCCGCCCAAAGAGGAAAAGGAGGAAGAGAAAGGATGGCTTGACAAGATGGAAAGCAAAGTAAAAGGTCTCTTCAGATCGTCAGATTCTGAAGATGAAGGTGATGAGAAGAAAACCATGGAAGAAGTGAAGAAATCAGACGAGGAGGCATCAACGCCAGAAGACAAGCAGGAGGAAGAAAAAGGATGGCTTGACAAGATGGAGAGTGCTGTTAAAGGTTTCTTTGGTGCATCTGATTCTGAAGACAGTGATGAGAGTAAACGGACAAAAGAAGCCCAAAAGACAGTGGAAGAAAGCAAAGAAGAAGACCATACTGAGCAGGAAGCAAGGCCAAGTTCTCCAGAACCTCATGCGGAGGAGACAGGTGAAATGTCACCTCCCAACAAAGTGGAGGTCAAAGCTAACGATATGTTTGGGCCTTCTGATTCCGAAGATGATAACGAGGCAGAACATAAAGACGAAATTGTGAAAACTGACAACATGAAGGAAATGCCTTTTCTCAACCCACCGGGGGTAAAAGCTAACGACACATTTGAAACACGTGATTCTGATTCCAAAGATGACAAAGAAGATGAAAAAGTGGAGATCATAAAAGCTGAAGAGGATGCAGAGACAGGAGCTGTTCCTATGGCACTTGAGGAAGAATTAGCAAGAGATTCAGAACTTCAAGAGGAATCCAAGATGCAGCCTGAAAGAGACGAACGCAAAGGAAAGGAGGAAACTGCCTCGCTTGGGAAAGAGGATGCTGATGTCTCTCAGACCAAAGATGGTGACATGGAAAAATCTGAAGATGAGGGACCAGAGGAAGAGAGGAAAGATGAAGTAGAGAAAACATGGGAAGATAAAGAGCAAGAGATCAGTCCATCAGATAGAGAAACAGGTCCCTCTGCACAGGAGGTAGAAACAAAGATGGATGAAGTTGAAGATAAAGTCAATGAGAATAAAGACACAGGAGACAGAGATAGTATCAAGGAGGAGAAGCCAGATGATGGCAGTTTGTCATCTCGGTCATCTTTCTCTGACACCAGTTCCATCGCTGCAGGGCTTGAGAAGGATTACAGAGTAAGTTCATGTACTCCCCATAAGCAGTCATAAAGATTTCAAATGTACATGTTATCATCTTTATGATACCACAGTGACTTTGGATTCCACCAACATTTTCTTTGTAGCTTCAGTCAGGTGATCCTCACTGGTAACAAAGATTGGGGGGGTTGGCAAATTTACAGTTTGAGAATGAAACAAAACACCATTTTGCAGCCTTTGAAGGAGGATACATGTACTCTTTAAACTTTGTTCTGAAAGTGCGTTCTGTTTTGGTATACTGAAATACATGTCTCTGTTTTGCAACCACAGGTCCTAAATCTCAATGATAAAAATCTTGACGAAAGTAAAACATCAAGACTGGCAAAGGCACTGAAGTCTCGCAAGTATCGGAACCTGGAATACCTGCTGTAAGTCTGTGATTGATGCACATTTGGATTGAGTTGGAATGTGAAACAAAATTCAGTCATTACTTTAGTGTTGCTTTCTCAGAAATGTTGATATCTTCCCAACTCAATTTGGAATGATTGAAGAAATTTACTGGTGTTGACCTCCAACCCTTGATTTTGGAATCCAAATTGTGAATCAAGGACTTGACCCTAAGGTACATGTCGATTTCCTTCCTTATTGTTGACATCAGCTGAGATGTATAAAATTAATTTTTGTTGTTTTGAAAAGTCATTGAGCAGTATTAACAATTACGTCTTCGAAATTTAAGCCTGGAGCTTCATGTGGTGCTAAATTAGATCTGGAAACAGTGGGGTCACATCCAATACTGTCTTATTTAGAGCTCGTCTTCCCAATTGTGATAGACCGTTGAACAGGAAAGACACACTGAGAGTGATCTATTGCTACAGATAATACAAGTTGTACTGAGCAAGAGCATAAGTCATTCCTTTGTGATTGATTACAAGTGATAACCATTGTATCCCACCTGCAGGTTACGAGGCAACCCCTTGGGCGACTCGGGTGTGGCCAATGTCATCCAATCCCTCATCGAGGGGCACAACACTGCCACGAGCCCAGACAGTGCCCTCAAGCTGACCCACTTTGACCTGGGCAACACCGCCATGGGTGACGAGGCGGCGGGCGAGCTGGGCAGACTCCTGTCCCTGGACACGCAGCTGCGCAACCTCAACATCAGCGAGAACACTCTGTCGGCAACTGCCTGGGAGTCCATCAACCAGGGCTTGAAGGTCAACAAGACCCTGGTGACATTCAGCGCCGAGTATGCCCGCCTGAGTGACACCAGTTGCGTAATGATGACACAAGCAGTGATGGACCATGAAAGGCTTGAGGAGTTAAATATTGAGGGGAACGGGCTGGGGGAGAGAGCAGGAAATGCCCTAGCTCAACTGGTGAAAGATAACAGTGTAATACTGACAATTAATATGGAGAGAGATAATTCAATACCATCCAATATTTTGGCCGAAGTGAAAGAGATATTGGAGACAGGATCATATGTGCCTTAAGGTGGCTAAACACTTTGCATTTGCTTTGTAAATTAGAATTTGAGGCAAAACAGTAGGAAGTGTTTTAATTTTGCATTTGAATTTTGAATGCTAAACAGGAAATATTTTTGAAAACTTTTCATACATGACGTCTTTTTGATACATTTTCTTTAATAGATAAAATTCCATTTTGAATTCCGCATGATATTAAAATGGGATTAGACATGCAGATAAAAGTATGAGTTGAACATCAAGTATTCATCTTCAAAATTAGTCTGCATTTTAATGTAGGCAAACCAGTTATTGTACCAGTTTCTTAAAATGTTGGGATGTGATAAAGTTACCCATCTGCAAAATACTGATGTAAACTGTATGTAGATAGCTCGCTTATAATTTTAATGTCATCACGAGTAACAGGTACAATGCTTGAATCTTTCATGAAATAACCCACTATCAAAAACTTCTTGGATGTGCATGTACATGTACTTCCATCACTGAAGCTTTATACATGTCGTCTTGTAGAATTACTGCACACTATCATAAAGCTATTTTAGACAATGAAAAGGTGCCTTAAATTGAGCTTTAAGAATTTCTGTCATTGTTTGGCAGACATTTATTTGTGCCTTGAAATCACTGCGTGAGTCATTTGTGCTACTGTAAAGCAAAAAAACTTGATATGAAGAATAATTCCCATGACGTTGAGTTTAAATCTCTGCTTTATGCTTTTTTAAAGAGAGTGTACTTCAATACTTCTGAAGACCTGCTCATGTTTGACAGGTTTCCTATGCCATAAGTCACATGCATCATACATTTGTCAAACTTCAAACATCAGACTCCCATTAAAGCCGTACTTGCTCAGTCTTCTATCAGTTGATATAAATGAACAAATTCTGTACACTTGTGGTAAGACAAACAGATGTATACAGGTCTTCTTATGTGGAAATAAAATGTTCCAATGTACACCGTTTCAAACTTTGCCAAAACTGAAAAAAACCTTAAATACAGGCCTTTCTTGAAATATTGACAATTACAGTTTTGTACATGTGCATGTTGTAGATGCTCCAATCGTCAATTTGAATATGCCTAGATTCAGTGCGAAAAAGTTCTCCCTTGCTTTTTTTATGTTTTGCAGATGTATACATACATACATGTACATGAAATGTGGAAACAACATGTTCAGATGTACACTGTAGTCTGGCCAAGTTTTTCGAATTTGGCAAAACTGAAACAAATCTTCAATACAGGGGGTTTCTTGAAATATTGACAATTACATGTACATGTTCTAGATGTTCCTATTGTCAACTTGAAGATGCTTAGGTTCAGCACGAAAAATTCTCCCCTGCTTTTTTTATGTTCTGCTATAAAGATCCTGTTTTATGTAAATTATTGGGCATTGAGGCTGAATCATAATACTAAGATGCAATTTCTCTCTTTAAATTAATAAGGAATAAATTTGTAGCTCATGAAAGTTTAAATATTTAAATTTAAGAAAAAGTTCATTTTTAAAACAGCTGATTGGAGAAGATAATTGAACACAGAATTATGGAAATTAATATTTTTTGATGAAATGTAAAATATAGATCTGTAAATAGGCGTCTGCTATGAATAAGCAATTTAATTCTTAAAACTTAAAATCGAATGGCTACTTTTTAAATAGTGCATCAAGAGCGTTTATGGGTTCTATAAACGACAGTTGCAAGATGTGGAATTGGATACTGTGGAAGGTTAAGGAATAATGCCATTGTAAATTGTTAGTAATATGCTTGTTTCATTTCTGCTTTCTAGCCAATCAGAATCCACCTTTGAAACTACTTTTCACTGTCAAAGAAATGCAGCATTCAATGGTGTGATAAGACCTTCTAGTTGGTCATGAAGACGCACTCATCCCAAAGGAGCAATGCTCTGATTAGTATTTGGCCAGCAATTAATTTATATTTAGCTATTTTAGTTCAGTATTAAAAGTGTGCATTTTTAGGAAAACAGAAATATCAAGTAAATGAAGAGGCAAAGAGATCAGTTTCCTGTGAAGAGTTCAAGTTTGTCCAAAGTTTTGACTTCATTGTCTTTATTTTGTTCCTGTTGCTGACGTTTACAATGTATGAACAATTACAAGTCATTGTGCATGTACGCTATACACTGATAAAATATATGTCCCAAAAATTGATAAGTTGCAGATTATCATCAGAGAGGTCCAGTGACCGACAGTCTGTTTGTCCTGTATCTATTTTTTACAGAATGAATAGGAATCTATGCGTAGTGTACAAGAGAATCAAATCTCTGGACAAGTGTCCATTTATTGATCACTATGGATACCGATGCATACGTCGAAAACTTACAAGACTTCAGTAATCCAATGGGAATGGCTTGGAAAGTCTGCAGACCAGTTGGTTCTTGGTTGGATTCCCAAATGTCCTGTGCATGGAAGAGCTTTTAAGATTGGACTGCTTCCAGAAGGATCGTGTGACTTTTAATTCCACCTGATCTTGGCCTGTTTTGTGCCCAGCAGAATACAATGGGCACATGAAATCGCACTTTCTGCTCTGTTAACCACATGCTACCAGGTGTTTTTAAAAATGCAGTGCACACATATGGAAGATTTTCAAGATTTTCAGTTTTCGAAATTCCTAAAAAAATTTCATCATTTCATTTAATGGACATTTACACCCACACGAATGACTGTTTGGTGGCTACTCTAAGCCGACAGGTAACCTGCATTGACTCCTGAATAATTCAACCAGGCCTACCGCCCTGTAAAGAGAGCCCAGAATTGCGAGGTGTTGCATAATTTCCTTAAGTTTGTCCCCCAGTAAATGTGAGTGGCATCTTTTCAAACGTGGCTGGATTAGCACGCAGCAGTGCTGTGTCCCTCACTAATGGGCCCTGAAGCACTTACATCTATCCACTGTTTTTGGCGTGCTATGCCCAAAACAGCTGTATACTGTTTGAAAACAGTGACAGATTACCTTCGAAAAATGCAAACCGAAAAATGAAGGCAATTCCCAGCAGCAAGTCCCAGCATGGACCAGCTCTTTTGTTCCATTTCGGGCACCCCGGCTCTGTGTATAAACCCATGATGCTCGAAATGGGGTTCCCCAGCAGCAAGTGGTTAATTTGAACTGGCCATCCACGCTCCATTGGTAACCAGATGGCATTTTTAAGGCTTGGTTTTTAAACTTCCTGATATATCACAGACACACCTACAACCTGATGTTTTACTTTCTTTCTGTACTGTTAGTTCATGTCACAACTTTGTATTTCCAACCTCCAACTTTCTGGTGAGAGTCGACCCGCTCTACGATGCCATTGGCTCCTCGGTGTCACGGGACTTTGAATGTAAGAGTTCCCTTCGTACCTCAGGGGTGATGCCCTCATGTGAGTGGGCCCGCAGGAGGTCTAGCAGTGCCTCTTTTTGTTCTTTGGAGAGATCTTCCTTGTATCTTTGGACAAACGTCAGAAGGCTCTGGTGCCATAGCACAGGTAGCTCTCGTTTGTCAAGCTGGAATCTACGACAAAGAAAAAGTAAATATTTCAAAACTTGGAGACAGAGTGACTGTATGAAAAAGGATAGCTCTAAATTTGATTGTCAGTAAAAATCTGGGACCAATTTCATAGTGTCGCTAAGCACATTTTTCATCATCATTGTTTTTGAGACCATCACAAGACCAACACAAGACCTCTCATTTACAAGGTCTTGTAAATGGTTATGTGCATAGTCTTGTGTCTGGTCTTGTGAAAGGTCCGGTAATGATCTCGACCACAACACTGGTTGTCATTCATGGAAAGTGGCAAGATGTTGGCACAGCAAAAGGCATGGTTATGCATCTCAAAGGCAAATTTATACTGCTTACATTATAAATCTCTATAGGCGCACAGCTGTTACCATAACAACACCATGAAATAGTTAGCAACATTTACTGCTATAGTAATCATAACTTTCTGGTGACTGTTTAGCAGTGCCATGAAATTGGATTCTGCACTCCAGTGTTTTGAAAACTCACAACAGGCATGCAACTTTTCCTCGGATCAGCTGATTTTCTAATTTTCATTTCACACTTGCGGCATTGGAAAATTGAAAAAACACTGTACAAGGTCTTGTATAGATTGGAATATTCTCATTGTTTTCCACAGTCAAAGCAGCATGCCGGTTACTAGTGGCTGGGCACATCAAAATGTAAAAAAAATCTGGCAGACTTTGAGTTTCATGCAATGCACGTACCTGATGAAGTGATAGACCACGGCATCGACCACCCTATAAGGTAATGCATATTTCTTATCCAGAAGCGTCCTTAGGAAAATGCTGTTGGCTCCATTGTAGTCCATCTCAGCAATCTTGAGGAGTGCTGCACTTGAATGCAAGACAGGGATGCTTGTCTTTGCCAAGATACTTCCAATGATGATGGCCTCTCGCAAGGTGCAAGTTCCACACTAGAAAACAAAAACATTAGTTTAAGTAAAGTGCCACTGCTGTAAACGCGGAGAATTGTCATTAAATCTAACATTCTGCAAGGGTTTTAAATAGAACTGACCAAGCTTCATGTACATGTACGTGGTTATCAACAAGAGAACTGAAGTTTATTCTAATGTTGATTAAAATGAAGGAGAGATTACCTCACACAAGGGCAGGATTATTCCTTTGAAGAACGCAGCTGGCTTGAAGAGCGCTTTCTTCAAAGCCTGATTTGGAGTTTCAAAGGAAAAAAAAGCAAATTACCAAAAGCATAAACCCCCATGACACCACTCACATGACAAAAATGCCATAAAAACATACATACACCTTAGGAAAAACACTGAAAAGGTAGTTTCAGTTTTTCAAAAAAATTTCACTTTCCACTGAACTAAAAAATGATCCCGATTTTACCATGTACAAGTGGAAGTTGAGCCTTTTGAACTCTGCAATGTCATCTCTCACTCTTGGATACAGAATTAAGTTGAAAAATCTGTCACAAAAGAAAAAAACCTGTTTATGAAAGAAGTTTTGAAGCATCCCCTACGAGACTCTTAACAACCAAGAGTAATCAAAATTATGCCAGATTTCAGATTCCATTTCACACTATAATGACAATAAATGAACAGCACATAAATTGAGGAACAGCAAATTGAAAAGTGCATCAACTTTTCAGCAGTACTACACGAAATTGTGCATAAACTGATGACTGGATGTGCAAATCAAAGCCGACCCACGGTCAGGCCTTCTTACCTCTGGGCCATTTTGGCATTCAAGTTGCTGGTGAATATCCTGGTTGCTTGGTACATGGCAGCAGCCGTCCATTTGTCAGGCTCTGTAATGTACAAAATCTGGAAGCAAACATTCCAAACAATGGTCTGGGCATTAGACATTGTCAGAATGTCAAATTTAAGTAAAAAATGAGGTTGATCAACTTGTTAGCTCTCGTATAAAAATTGGCAGCCTCCCTATTCTTCTAAACAAACCTTCCTCATCACTATTTCTGTCTTTCACACACAACTAATTTATTACTGCCACTAACCTGTTCCCACAGTCTGAGCGAGGGGAGTACCTTGAGTGCCTTTGGTAGCTTGCCGCTGCGATATCTCGACAGAATCTGACCAACACCCTTATATACCTGTGTGACTCTCTCATCCAGTTCAGGTGCAATTTGTCCACTCTCTGTTGAGAGTAAGAGAGAAATATCAGGTTAACTTAGGAAGAAATTATGTCAATTTGATAAACATTTATGCAGTACTATTTGAACACAAAGCTTGGAATTCTGATTCCTTAGAGTGAAACCAGACACAAGAGGTCTTTTGTGAATTTTGTTGACGCTTGAAGTTACCCACGTGCAAGGGCAACAAAGTACCTTGCTCCCTTCATACGTAGTTGAGCTGGTAGCACTCACCTGTCATCTGTGAGGCAACTTCTGTTTGTTTCTCAGTGAGTTTCTCCATGATGATGTCCGCAAGGGTCCTTCTAGCAGGAGCATTCGGAGCCATGAATCTCTCCAAGGCCCGCTCATCATCCACGTTAATTTCCTGCAAACAGTCAAAACAATCACCCTTGTTTATCAGAGTGACAAGGCAAAGACGCTGAAATTTCATGCAAAAGATAAGGAGAGTCTTGTAAATGAACCAGCTTGTCAATCATCACATCATACATGTAATAACTAAAACGGCAAAGCCGCCATGGCTTGTTTCTTGTTATGATTTTGAATTTCTTTCCTGAAACAACAGCTTAAGTTAAGAGTCATCCAAGTTATACATATATGGTTACTAAATAACAGGTGTATACTAACCAAGCTTTATCCAAATTTTTTACAAGATTGGTTGACATGTGACTGCAACACAGATGTACAAAATATTTTATCCGCCTTAGCCATAAAGTTCATTATACTCTAGGAGAAAAAAACCCAATTGGTGCTGTGTGCAGACTGTGTGTTGAAAGGCGCCTGCCATTTAAAAGTAAATTAACAAAGACCACCAACGAGGGAGATACTGTAGGGGTACAAAGGCTTCACAGTTCTTTACAGGAGAGACGAATGCCTTTGTGGTCTAGCTACATGTACATGTAGTACAGTCATCCTATCCATCTCCTACTCCATC